CTGCCCGTGGTGTTTCAGAGGTTCTTGCTGTTCGGCGCTGAAGTGCCTGGCTTCCACGGATTTCACAGACTATTCTGAGTTGGAAGGGACCCACGAGGATCATCGAGTCCAACTCTTAAGTGAATGGCTTGTACGGGGATTGAACCCGCGATTTTGGTGTTATTAGCACCATGCTCTAACCATAGAGTGCATAATACTCTTTCTCTCTCTAAAAAAATAAGCCTCAAAACTATATAGTGTATATATATGAACGCTATATATATATATATATATACACTATTCATGTAAACTATATATAGTTATATATACTATGCACTAATATATATGCTACTGTATTGTAGGTACACAATAGCGTACCTACACAATAGCGTCCCTGTTTTTGTTATAATTGCTTCAGTAGAGCAAATGTTTCAAGTTACAGCATTCTATCACTTTTCCCTTCCAGTATTAATAAGTATATTTTTCTCTTTATTGAATTTTATTTTTTTTCCTTGTGTGCTATCACAGAGATTCAGCTGTCCTAGCTAAGCACTGAGCAGCCAATCTGGGCAAACACTTGCCCAGACTCCTCTGGGTGTCTCAGTGACTGACCTGCAGAGCCCTATGCCAGGTAAGAAACAGGAGAGGACTTCATGGGAGACGCAGCCCTGTGGGCAATTTCCTTCTTAGTCACATCCAAACACTTTCTACCACACAGCCATCTATGTCTTACTGAGGTCACTGTCAAAACATATGGTAAACTCTGCAGGCCTCTGTAGGACCAGGCCATCACAGTACTTGGTCACCAGCTGGGTGAAGGTCAAATACCACTGGAGCCAAAGAAGGGTGCTTGTGTGGACTTATGCACCCATTCCCCAGCTGCTTCCACAAAGACTTGTGTAGGGCTTTCTCTTTTGGACAATCAGTCTTGAATGCTGTGCTGAACTGTCTGTAGATCAATTCCACTGCAATATAGACAAAAGTTCTGTAAAAAATGTAGCAGATACTTCATCTTAATGGAAAAACTGGAAGAGATAAATTTTAGATAAAAGTCTTTCTGTCAAAAAAATCAAATCTCAGGAATGACAAAGTTAGAAATCCTTCTGTAAGAAAAAAGTAAGGTAGAAGTGTGGCTTTGGGGTTTTTTTAATGTTTAATAAATTCTAAAGAAATAATAAGAAAACAAAATGCTCCTGTTTTCTGATTCACCCTTGTTTTCAGAGATTTATTCAGATATCTGAACAGATTTTGTTTAATCCTTGAGATGAACACACTCTTATTTTGTTAAGGAATTTGTTTTTTAAAGTGCAACCAAAACAGGTGGCAGTATCTCCTTCTAATTTCGCTTTACTGGGGCATTAATAAAACCAGATTGTTAAAATAACTCTAGGACCATAACTTCTCTAAAACTTGCCCATGCAGCAGGCTTGCTATTAAGTCAGGTGATAGACGTTTATACAAAATCTCTAAAATTTTCTGAAGGTTAAGGTTTTCTTGACTTTAGTCCAAAATTAATATTTGGTTAGAACCAGAGAGTTGTTCAAGTTGGACGGAACCTCGAGTGGTCTCTAGTCCAACCTCCTGCTCACAGCAGGGTAAAAACTAAACTAAGACAAGGCTGTTCAGTGCCTTTTTCAGTCAGGTCTTGAACACCACCAATGATGGAGATTCCACAACCTGTTTCAGTGCTTAATAATCCTCAGTGAGTTTTTTTTCCTTACATGAAGTTCTCTGTCTATTTTTGACTACTGTCTGTCATCCATTCACTCTGAATTTCAGCACAGAGCCTGGCTCCAATTTCTTGATAACTCCCTTGCAGGAACTGGAAGGCTATTACTAGGTTTCCCTTTCCCCAGGACGAACAAGTCCAGCTTTCCTGGCATATCCTCACAGGGCAAATGTTCCAGCTCCAAACTGTCTTGGTGGGCCTCCAAGCTGAAGTTTATTAAAGTCCTCCTTAATTGCAGTCACACAAACTAGACTGTTCCATATGAGGTCTGTTGAATGCTGTGTAAAAGCAAATAATCACCTCCCTCGATCTATCGACTATATTTCTTTTGATGCAGCCCAGGATTCTCTTAGCCTTCATCCCTGCAAGGGCTTCCTGCTCCATCATGTTTGGCTATTGACCATAAGAGCACCTGAGCTCCTTCCCATCAGAGTTTCTCCCCAGCCCATAGAAATGCAGGGGTAAGTCCACACCAAATGCACTTGTCCTCCCTGACTTTCATAAGATCCCTGTTTTCACATTCATCTGGCCATTCACCCTCTGAATGGCAGCCCTTCCCTGGAGCATGTTGACTATATGTTTTAATTTGATGTTGTCCACAAACTGGATGAAAGTGCACTCTGAGTCCTCCTCTGGGCTATTGATATGGATATGAAACAGGACATGAATCAATACAGACTTATGAAGAACTGCACTTGTAACCAGCTTCCCTGTAGAGTATGAACCATTATTCACTATGATTCAATCAGTTTTTCTCTCTGTCTCAAAAACGAAGCTGTGGGAGATTGTGCCAAAAGCCTCCTATCCACTGCTCTCCCATCATCCATAGATCAAGGCAGGTGATCAGGTTAGTTACATATAATTTACCCTTGGTAAATCCATGCTAGGTCTTTCAGTTCCTCGACTGCTATTGCAAACTTATGGTTGCAATGACAGGTGTTACACAAACAGCTTTGCTTCGTAAGAGAAAGAAGGGCTGACAACCAATATGAGATCAATTAGTACTGTCTCACTATTCCTCTGCAGATATGGCTGCACAGCTGGTATCTTATGTCTGGAGGTTACGGCTAAAGTTTGGGGACTAGGGCTATCTTTTTGTCCTGTGCTTGTACCATGCCCACTTGAGCTCCTGAGCCTAGCTGCAGGGTGGTGCTGCCAGGTCTCACAATAATGCAGTTCATAATAATGCATAATAATGCAGTGATAAGGAACAGAAACTTTAAAAATAATCAGTAAGTGCTTTTATTGCTGTTCTCCTGAAAGATGCAGAGAGAAGCTAAGACAGGTAGTGAAGTTGTCTACACGAAGCATCTCTATATGTATGTTGCATTTACTCTTTGAATTGCAGCTGTGATGCTCCAGGTCTACATCTCATGAAAACTATAATTTTTCATGGGAGCTTTCATGCAGAAAACCAGCTGTGCAGTAGTCATGCCTGGACTGAAGCAGGTGGAAATAAGAATGCTTTGCTCCCACCTCATTTAAGTAGTTACTTGTAAAGTGATGTATGCTCCTAACTACGCACTTATCTGATTGTTTCAGACTCCTTTCACAGTCCGTGTGTGCAGTGTGTAATGATCCGAGTTGGCACTTGGAGGTTTGCCCACTGGCAGCTGGCTGTGCCCAAGAGTATCAGCTCTGTAAAGTCGGCAATGCACCTCACAGAGAATGGCATAAACAGTTTTTGGTGGATTTTGGATGCAGGTGTGACTGTCCTCTCTACTCCTCAAGTGATGAGCTCCTTAAAACTCTGAATTTCCCTCTCTGCCTTTTTCCTCATGTCTTCCTGTCCCTTTATGGTCCCATGATATGTTTGTAGAGGACAAAAGAAGCAAATACTTGGAGCCACACGTCTGTATAGTTGTACTGCAGATGGGTCCTCTCAACCAAATTGCTACCATGGGCACAGAACTGCAGAAACAAACACGGATTGTTGTTTTACGCTTCAGACCTTCTTCGTAGTCTCATGCATGAGACCTTATTGAAGGCATTAATGAGGAGGCAAAACGAAGCTTTAAACAGAAACAGCTGCAACCTTAGCTGTGGAGGAACTTGGAATTAGGCAATAGCACAGCTTATTAAAATAAGGGGGAAAAGCTACTTTGCAGACAAAAAGAAAAAGAAAAAAAAGAAAAAAAAGAAAAAAGAATCCTATTTGGAAACATTACCTAAAACCAGAACACCTTCCTTTGAAAGTGGATGGGCTCTTGTGCTGTTGCCCTTTATGAAATTTAAACAGCACCACACAGGACAGAATTGTCTACTCCCTCTATTGATGAAAACAGAAAGTGCTGCCACGGACCACT